TAGTTTAATTAATCGTAATAATGCAATGTTCTCATTGCTATGCATTGCACTAAAAGATTTCGTATATAAACTGATGAAACCCATCGAAAGTATCAATTATTAAATTTACAATTGATTTATTGAATAACAAAATTATTAAAAACCAAAATGTTTGCCATATATTTGTTAGCATTGATTGCTTTCGCAAATGTAAACGCATTTGTAGTGAAAGACGGCAATGATTTCTACGATGAGGTCCGGAAGTCGAGAGATTTTACGGGAAAAGTAGTTTTGGTGACCGGAAGTGCTTACGGTATCGGCGAAGCCGTCACTAAACTATACTCGGCTTTAGGGGCAGAGGTTGTGGTCACGAGTTATAAGAAGACAGACATCGATAGAGTTGTCAAAGAAGTGAAGGCATTATCACCGAAAGGATTAGAGGTTTGTTTTGTTGTTATAATTAAAGTTAAATATAACTAAAATTGTCATTAAATGAATAGCCGTTAGGAGTTGTGGCGGATCTGACCAAAGAGGCCGATATAAAGGCCTTATTTGAGCAAACGATCAAAAAATATGGTAAATTAGATGTATTGGTGAATACCGCGGGTCTCTATCGGAAGGCAAACATAACTGAAGACACATTTGAAGCCGAATTGGAAACCTCTGAGAAGATAGATATCATAGCATCGGTTAAACTGATTCGTTATTTCTTACCGTATTTGGAGAAAACAAAGGGAAATATAATCAGTTTGACGAGCGTTTTCACTGAACACCTGGTAGGTTTTTGTTGGCAAACTTGCATCGTCAAAATATTGAACATGTACAATTGTATAATTTATTTACATTTATAGCAAACAAATAAAATTGGTTACGAAGTGGCGAAAGCGGGTCTTGAAATCATCACCAAAGGGTTGGCGTTAGAGTTGGCCCCGAAAGGCATTCGTGTGAATTGTATCAGGTATTACATTATCGCCGCTAATTTACCACTCATTTAACAACATGTTTGCTAATAATGTCAATCAATTACTTGTGTACTCACAGTCCGGGCATTGTATTGACACCACCCGTGGGCTCCGATCCCTATGAAGTGGCCTTTTATAAGAAAACGGCTGATTTGACACCACTGTACCGACGGGCCGGTGCTCCACAAGACATCGCAAAGGCTGTGGTATTCCTGTCCTCAACTGACGCCCAATTTGTTACGGGAAATAATCTGGTGGTCGACGGAGGGCTCAGATATAACATGGCGTCAGATTTCCTGTGGGACGTCACTAAATATCAGTAAAAATTACTTTATTATAATCGATGGCTATTATGTTGATTTTACGATTTGTGTAATTTAAATGATTTGAATAAATCAAATTTGGAAAAAATATTGTAATATAGTTTATCATTTTTACAAATAATTAATTTGCATTGTTCTCGAAATAATAGCTACACGAAATACTGGCGTCTGTATTAACTTTACACGCTGGGTAGTTTGTAATTAGATTATGGTAATTTATCGCGACAAATATCAATTAATATCAATTTGTTGAATTGACAATATCTACCAACATGTTTTATGTCAATAACTATATAACTATAATAATTTACCAAACAGTAAAACTAAACTAATCGCAAGTTTTTGCATTGAATTTAACCGAATGTGTTTTACTATAAAAATATCACAAATAGTACTGTTTTTGCACATATTTTAGGGCATTCGGGAGGGGAGGGATGGGGCGGTCCACTGGTTGTACTGGGTCACCCAGGGATCCTGCAACACATCGGGCAATGGCATTCGCATTATTGGGTTGTCATCAGTCATTTTGTACAACAGTGCCATCAGTAAGCTCTGCGGATCGTAACCCCTAGCGATCTCCAGAGCCGACCTGATGTACGCGTGAGCGTCGAGACACCGGCCGGCGGGCAGTTGTCTAATATGTTGGTTGAAATCGTAAAGGCGGCCGATCACCGACTCGGCCAGCGAAACGCCCAACGCGTACACATCGGCAACCGTCACGTCCATCATTAGTGGCGTACCCTTCAGCTCCATGTCTCGGGCTAATTGGGTGCAGCGTTCCGGTGCCGCTATGTATGGGGTTTGACGTATTTTAGTGGTGGCGAACCGGTCGGAGCCCACGGAGTACAACATAGATAGGCCAAAGTCGGCCAATTTGTATGTCTTGGCCTTAGCGCCCGGGTATTTGATCCATAATATGTTGCCGGGCTTGAGATCCAGGTGCGCCACACCGTGTCGGTGCAGGTATAGCAGAGCGTCGCCGATCTGGCGGAATCACTCGCGGGCCACGTCTTCGTGCATACCTATGTGGCCGATCTCGCTGTTCAAATCGCCCGAACACTTCTCCATGAATAGGAACATAAACAAATGTGGTAAACCCTTCTCGGGGTCCTTGATATCGGCCACGCCCTCCATTTGCACCAGATTCGGGTGCGACAGACCGCGCAATGCGTTCACATCCCGGAGCATCTTCTCCACGGCCTGCTTGTAGTTGGGCTCACGTCTGAACGATTCCAGTTTGAGTACTTTGGCCGCCATGTCTACACCCCGTCGGGTGTCCCTCACGTTCCACACCTCTCCGTAGCCGCCCTGACCTATACGTGTGCCGAACCGAAAGCCCAGTTCGTCCTCCACGTGTTGGAACTGATTTTGGTAATTGTAAGCAAAGGATTGGTTTACATCTGTGGGCCATCCCTGGCTGTCATAGTAATCGGTGGCAGTCGGCGGTCCGAACAGTCGCCCCCCTTCGGCCTTACCAAACGGTGCGGGCCCTCCGCCAGTTACCTTGTTGACCAAAGATTTAAATTTGCCAACCGGTGGTCCGTGGCCCGTGAACTTGACCTCGGTATATCCTTCAGCACCCTGAGCCTGTTGTGCACCCGCGGCCTGTGTGGGCCTGAAAGACCTGTAGTGCATGTGCTGGGTATCCAACTCATCGGGCCGTACGGATTGAGCCATTTCTAGAAAGACCCGGTGCTTTATTTTAAATTGTTTGTGTTTTCTAGATTTTATTTATTTAAAAATTTAATTATTATTTTCATAAAAATTCTCAAAAATATTAAAACTATTTGTTTAATAAACCCATTAAAAAGCTACTGTTAGCCTGTTTCTTGCAATTTTATTTAACCACAATGTTTTGTTTAAAGCATTTATTTATGAAAGAATCTACATTTTAACCAAGCCGATATTTTAAATCTTATCTTGATTAAAGATGAGTTAAAATGTTGATGTCAAATAAGATCACCAAATTGGATATGTATATCGTATTGCGAATACGAATCTCATTTTATTCATTAATCGCTTTTAATCCATGACTTTGAGTCCTACTCAAAGTCACCATTTATTATAACCTGTTTTTATCTAATCGCTAATCTTATCTCAATTGCTGTAGAGAGACAACGCCTCCCTAGAGAGTCAGTTGTCTCTCAGTTCTCATACGATTAACATTAAAGTTATTTTACTGTAATAATTACTTCGTGTACATTATTGCCGTTAATTACCCTGTAATTACCGGCCGCCGTGAAGGCTCAAGAGGACTGAGACCCGAGACACGCCCCGAAGGGCCACTCACGCACGGACGCACGCACGCGAGACCACGAGCACGGAACACGTGTCCGTCAGAGCGCGCGCCCGCACGCAAGCAAGTCAAGCATTGCCTAACCAGGACACGCACACCCACACCCCCTCTGGTTTCGGCAATACTATATGTATTTAGTACAATTAATGTTATATTACCCTAAAATCGTGCCTATTACCCGCAGTCGCGTATAACCCGCACCATCAAAAAGTGCAAATATTTTAAAATAAAAGGCGATTCACAGATAACCCGCACTTCACGTATAACCCGCAAAACCTGTTTGTTTTAACAAAAAACGCGTGTTTTTGAAATATAAAATTAACACTATGAAACTTAATTTTTGTATTTAACCGTTTGAAAGTTTTAAATATTTGTAATTAATTAAATTAGTTATTATGTTTAAAACAAGTTCAATGATTTGACAATTGATTCTGAATTTGAAGACATATCTGATGAAGAATCCAATATTATGACTAATTTTAACTCTCCTTTTGAATGTGGTTTCGACTCTGATTTGAGTGATTTAAGTGATTTTATGCTCTATAATACTGTATTATATTTATTCTTGAGTAAAATATTTTAATAAAATAACAATTTATCATTTTAAGACATCAAATAATATTTAGAAAATCCTATATAAATGTGAAAAATGGCCAAAAATTCCTGTATTTTTCTGTATTACAGCTTATTTTTGAAATATTTATGCCTGTATTTTCATTGTACAGGGAAATTTCTTCCCGTATTCTGTGAAAATTAATGTATAATAAAGAAATTCCTGTATGTTTGGCAACGCTACACATAACCCGCACTCATTAATTTCCCAAAAATATCACTTTTTTCATCAGATAACCCGCGGGTAATAGGCACGATTTTAGGGTACTTTGCTAGAAATTTTATAGATTTCTCCCAAATAAATGTTTTTTTGAACCTATTCTAGCATAAGCTCATAGGAAAAGTGCGTGCCAATTGCCCTGGGTCACCCACGGGTCCTGTATCATTCATTACTGTACATGTTTTATGCCAATAACTATATAAGTATAACTAATAATGTAACAAACAGTAAGACTAAACTAATCGCAAAGTTTTTGCATTGAATAACCGATTTTGTTTTACTTTAAAAATATCACAAATAATACTGTTTTTGGCTGTATTTTAGGGATTTCGGGAGGGTAGGGATGGGGCGGTCCATCTGTACTGGGTCACCCAGGGATCCCGCAGCACATCTACTAATGGCATTCGCATGGTTGGGTCGTCGTCGGTCATTCTGTACAACAGTGTCATCTGTAAGCCCTGTCCGTAGTAACCCCGACCGATCTCCAGAGCCGACCGGATGTACGCGTGAGCGTCGAGACACTGGCCGGCGGGCAGTTGTCTCATGTGTTGAAGCATATCGTAGTTGTGGCCGATTTGCGACATGGCTAGCGATACGCCCAACGCGTACACATCGGCTGCCGTCACGTCAATCATCAGTGGCGTACCCTTTAGCGCCATGTCTCGGGCCAATTGGGTGCAGCCTTCCGGCGCCGCGATGATCGGGGTTTGACGTATTTGAGTGGTAGGGAACCGGTCGGAGTCCACGGAGCCCACGGAGTACAACTTAGATAGGCCAAAGTCGGCCAATTTGTATGTCTTGCGCTGAACGCCCGGGTATTTGATGAACAATATATTGCCCGGCTTGAGATCCAGGTGCGCCACACCGTGTAGTTGCAAGTATAGCAGGGCGTCACCGATCTGGCGGAACCACTCGCGGGCCACGTCTTCGTGCATACCTCTGGGGCCGATCTCGGCGTTCAAATCGCCCGAACACTTCTCCATGAATAAGAACATAAACAAATGTGGTAAACCCTTCTCGGGGTCCTTGATATCGGCCACGCCTTCCATGAGCACCAGATTCGGGTGCGACAGACCGCGCAAACTGTTCACATCCCGGAGCATCAGCTCCACCGCCTCCTTGTAGTTGGGCGCGCGTCTGAACGATTTCAGTTTGAGTACTTTAGCCGCCATGTCTATACCCCGTCGGGTGTCCCTCACGTTCCACACCTCTCCGTACCCGCCCTGACCTATACGTGTGCCAAACCGTAAGCCCAGTTCGTCCTCCACGTGTTGGAACTGATTTTGGTAATTGTAAGCAAAGGATTGGTTCACATTTGTGGGCCATCCCTGGCTGTCATAGTAATCAGTGGCAGTCGGCGGTCCAAACAGTCGCCCCCCTTTGGCCTTACCAAACGGTGCGGGCCCTCCGCCGGTAATAATGTTGACAAATGATTTAAATTTGCCCACTTTTGGCCCGTAGCCCGTGAACTTAACCTCGGCGTAGTCGGTAGCACCCGGAGCTGCTTGTGCACCCGCGGCCTGTGTGGGCCTAAAAGACCTGTAGTGCATGTGCTGGGTATCCAATTCATCGGGCCGTACGGGTTGAGCCATTTCTAGAAAGACCCTGTGCTTTTTTCAAATTGTGTCAATAAATTATTTTTTCTAAATTTTTTTATTTGAGAATTTAATTGTTATTATTATTTGCATAAAAATAAGTTATTAAAACTGTTTGTTTACTAAACCACTTAAAAAGCCTGTTTCTTGCCATTTTATTTAACCATGATATTTTGTTTAAAATATTAAATATTTTGATAAGTATTTATTTATGAAACAATCTATAATTTCATCAAGCCAATATTTTAAATCCGACATGTTTATTAAACTAATAATGAGTTAGAATTTTTGTGTCAAATACGATCATCAAATTATATATGTATTAGACAAGATAAATGTTATATTACTTTGCTATAAAATTTATAGATTTCCCCCAAATAAATGCTTTTTTGAGCCTATTTTCGATTTGGTTCATAGAAAAGGTCAATTCTCCTGGGTAGATCACGGATTCTGTAGCATTTACTACTTTATACAAAATGTACAATAATATAAATTTCTACACAATTATTATTAATTGATATTTTATAAATAATTACTTTATTATAAATTAATTCATTTTATTTAAATATGCTTGCAAAAAATTAAATTAAATTAAAGTGTCATTATTGTCATAAGTGTCATATTTGCAATTTTGTCTATTCTCAATGAATTTATGCTTATTAAAATTTTTAAATAAAAATTATTATTGTATTTATGGATTATTAATGCAGTTGATCACAACATATAGACAATGCCGCCGTCAATGACCAGATTAGCGCCGGTAATAAACTGAGCGTCGGTTGAGGCCAGAAATGCTACGGCTTTGGCCACATCTAGGGGTTGGCCAATACGTTTCAATGGTATCAGTTTTGCCGCTTTGGCCAACAATTCAGGATTTATGAACCTTTTTAGACCATCGGTTAGTATATATCCCGGACTATGTTATGAATGTTACAAAACAGTTATAAGTAATTATTATTTGTAAATCAAATTCATTTAATAAATAAATAATTTACCATATTGAATTAACTCTAACCCGTGGACCTAACTGTACGGCCAGTGATTTAGTTGCAAATTCAAGGGCTGCTTTGGAAGCCCCGTATGCCAATGGGTCTACACCCTAATCATGATTAGTAATTAATAATATATAATAATTATTTTGATAATTAAAATAAATTCAACATATTTTATATTAAAATGTAAATTACGGGTAATTGTGAGGCAATACTGGATGTGCTAATTATGGATCCATTTGAGGCCCGCAGATAAGGGACTGCCAGTTGTATGAGCTGTAGGGCTGCTCTGAAATTTAAATTAAATGTTTTGTCCAAAATGTCGGTAAAATTTGTGTCAGTAATTGTGGATTCATAGCCGACGCCCGCGTTATTCACTAATATATCTAACTTTCCATATGTTTTGATTGTTTTATTAAAAAGTGCTGTCAATTCATCAGTTTTAATCAAATCCACCACAACTTCTAATGGCTTTAAAATTATAATTAGTTTTTATTTATTTAATTATTTAAATTAAATTATAAATTAATCCTTAAGTTATTTCTATTCATACCTTTAGTTTATACGGAGACAATCGTTGCACTTCTTGAGCCACTTTTGCGATCTGCGTCTCATTCCTGCCGGTGATCACAACACTGGCCCCCAATATGGAGAACAGTTTGACAATACCCTCGCCTATACCAGTGCTCGAACCGGTGGTCAGCACTACTTTACCCGTAAAATTGCGCGACTCTTTTACTTTAAAATAGTCCTCATTATTAAAATCGTTAATAATGTTTGAGTTTATAACAGTTATTAAAGATAAAAATATTGCTAAATTAAAATTCATTGTGTAAATAAAATATGAATTATTTTTTATAGTCACCAAGTCAAAAAAAAATAGTGATCAGTATATTTTGATTTTTATTTGCAAAAATTATTTCTTTTCTGAAAATTAACTAAAAATTATTTCCTATTTTATAATTTTTATTGTATTTATTTCCAAAATTACATAACATTGTCAATCACAGAGCTCTACGTCTATACTGTATTAAATATCAAGATGATAAGTATTAAAACAATTGAAAAAGTACTCAACACTGTGCATTTTTGTACTTAATAAATTATGCTAGAATAACATCTTTTCTAATGGTAAAAAGTATATTAAAATTAATTTATCAATTTATAATCCTTGCGAATTAATAAATATAGATATTGAATACAATATACCTGTAATTAGTTGTCATTAAAAGTATGTTTTAAAAGGTACAATTTATAATTATTAATTGATAAATATTGTATTAATAATCAATTGGTTTAACAGATTATAGAAAGCAAAACACTCAATACAATCGCAGTATATAAATTGAGCGCAGAAAACAAAATTTAGGAAATTGTCTTAAATATTAGTAATATTATATTACTGAAAAGTATTGTCATATAAAATATAATTAAACTAAAAATGAAAACGTTATATATTTTGCATATCTTATTGTTAGCATTAGTTTCTATAGTAAACGCCAATATTTTCCATGACTTTAGTGATGAAGACTATTTCAAAGTGAAAGAGTCTAGAAATTTTACGGGTAAAGTAGTTTTGGTGACCGGATCTGATTCGGGTATCGGCGCCGGTATTGTCAAACTGTTCTCCATATTGGGGGCCAGTGTTGTGGTCACCGGGAGGAAAGCGCCGTCAGTCCACAAAGTGGCTCAAGAGATACAGGAGTTGTCTCCTTATAAACTCAAAGTATTATTAAATCAATATACAATTTGTAATAAATTTTAATAATAATAAAATTATTTTAATTAATTTTTAATTGAAAAGCCGTTGGAAGTGGTGGCGGATGTGACCAAAACTGAAGACCTGAAACGGCTATTGAGCGCAACAGTGGACAGGTTTGGACGGTTGGATGTGTTGGTCAATAACGCGGGTATCTATAAATTCAATAGCATTGAAGACCAAAACATTACCGAAGAATGGGATCAGATATTCGCCGTGGATTTGCGGGCAATCGTCGAACTCAATCATCTGGCGGTTCCGCTTCTGGAGAAGACTAACGGCGCGATTATAGACATGTCCAGCATTGAGGCCATGAAACCGGTATAGTTGTGATCAAACATCTCGATAAATAATCAATTAATATGACTGACAATGTGCTCGTTTACATCGTGTGTTTTGATAGATAAGCAAATTTTTGGCGTATAATTGCGCGAAGGCTGCGCTGGATATGATGACCCGGGTGTTGGCCATTGAGTTGGGCCCTAAAGGCATACGTGTCAATAGTTTAAAGTACTTTTACATTTATAAAATACAACTCGATATAAACTGATGTATTGTATTCGCAGTCCGGGCTATACTGATGTGCCCAACGCTTTGCTGCCCAAAGAATTGGTAGATTTGCTGAAGAAAAGCGCACCGTTAGGTCGGGTGGCCTTTCCCTTGGATGTGGCCAAAGGGGTTGTATTCTTGGCCTCCACTGACGCCCAGTTTATTACCGGCGCTAATCTGGTGGTCGACGGCGGACTAATCTGGACTATGCCACCTTTGTAATAAGTTAATAAATAAACGTCTATTATTTATGCTATTTATTAATCCATGTAAAACTATATGCTTTTAATTGTGTGTTTCGTAACTATTAAAATGTTGAACCTAATGAATTAATCAAATCAAATGAAATAGATCTTATAATTTATAAGACAAATAAAACACAAAATTAAAACAAATGAAAGTTTTGGTAAACTTCTTGAAAGTGTTTGTAATTATTAAAAATGTAATGTATTTTAATTGTTTGAAAGGTATTTCCAATGAAAGTTTTGGTAAACTTCTTGAAAGTGTTTGTAATTATTAAAAATGTAATGTATTTTAATTGTTTGAAAGGTATTTCCAATGAAAGTTTTGGTAAACTTCTTGAAAG